GGTTGTCTCGTCTTAGTATGTTGCAGGAAAATTCGGACTAGGACAAGCGGAGCAATAAAAACCTCAATCACGCACGGCACGTTTTATGATTATTATCAACGGAGGAAACAAGCAAACAAAACTCTCATCAGTAGTGCAGGAGGGTGACGTTGTACTCGATGATGGCGTCCCCGTTGCCGGTGTTGAGGTAGTGCGTGCGGAGCAGCGCGAAGCCGCGGGCCAGCCGGAATGCGCCGCGGCCGCCGACGACGGCAAGCTCCCTGCCGTCCCCGTCCGCGACGGGGTTTCGCGAGAAGACCACGAAGGAGCTGCCGTTGTAGTCGTTGAGGGCGAAGTCGATGCCGAGGACGAGGCCCAACCCGTGCCTGCCCGTGGACGCGTACAGCCCCTGCGCGCTGCCGACCACCCTGGACGTCCGCTCGGGCCCCTCGGTGAGCACGTCGTCGACGACGTAGACGGAGCTGAAGGGCGTGGGGTCGCCGGGCCTGGGCGTGGCGCTGGCGGCGTGCGCCACGGGGACGGCCGTCGGGTCGCGGCCGCTGAGGGTGTCGTGCAGGTAGAAGCGCAGGTTTGTGAGCTTCTCCTTGCCGAAATGGCGGCCGTGGGCGTCGGCGGCGTTGCGCGGCTGGAAGGCGACTAGGAGGAGGACGGCGAGCAGGGACAGAGTCCTCATGGTGCTCTCTTCGTTTTCGACTACTGAATCTTGTTTTCGTTTTTTGGTGGAATGGATCCAGCAGGCCTGGTTTGCATCTTTTATAGGCGAAGATGGGCATATCTACAGGACTAAAGAAGGAAACAATTAAGACTGAAATAATGGTGCACGTTTACACTCGGCTGGCATGCAGCATGACAGCAGTACAAGACTACAAAGAGTCAAAGAGAAGGAAATTACACGACCATAATTTTCGGAATCAAGGCGCCTAAAATGGTGCCGTATTGATGGCCATATCTATTGGCCCCAAATAATGACCGGGGATCACTGCAAACCTGTCTAGATTCACTGCTTCATCAGACAAGCCAAGACGAGCGACTCATCACCGAGCAATAGAAATTCAGAGCTGAAAACTACCGACAGGTAACAGCTAGGACGAGATGGGACACTGATTGCAGAACATGCAGCAGAGGTGTAATTTTCAGATTCCACATTTCTAAGAGAACGAACCAACCATGGCTTACATCCAGAACGCTCGAACCGCAAATAACTTGTCATATCTGGACACTTTGTAAGAGCGAGCACGTCGGTCCGTGATGCTGATGCCATTGTGTTTGGCGCCGACGTGGAACGTGGTCACCACGAGCAGACACTCGTCGCCGTGGGGCAAGCACTCCGTCTGGTCCGTTCCCTCGCGTCGCAGCAAGGCCAATTGGCGCGTACCAACTTTTGAAACATGTCCGTAAAAAAAGGGAGCCTCTGTTCACCAGGTAACTGGAAAAAATGATTCATCCGTCACTTCTTATATGGACCTTCTGATCTTCATCCAACCGCCATAACAAATCTCGCACTGTTCATTTTCAACCTTTCCTTCGTTCTTCCTCCTCCCGACCCCCAGCCTACCCGCCCCATGTCGAGGCAACGAATCTGACAGTGAGTACTAGGGGTACAAACAAGGAAGGAACCTAGCTACAACATAGGTGTAACACTCGGATTTAGCGAATTCAGACCCCTCTCAAAGAGGTGGGCCGGCCCTGGCATCTAAGAGGCCCTAGTGCGACCCGGTACGATGGGCCCAATCAGTTATACCGGGGTTAAAGCAAACCTATACATTGCTTATCATGATAGCTATTATCAAAGTGAAAACACAAAAAGATAAATTATCATTAACAAATATGAAGTTAATACATCACAGATATGCGATTATAGGATACAACAAATTTACAAGACTCGATTTTTTAGACAAAAAATTTACAAGGAAGGGGAGAGAACAACTGAACCCACATAGTCCTTATTTCCCGAGCTTTCGAGTAAATAAATTATAATAAATATAGCCTCCAGCCACCAAAACTAAAGCAATACTTCAAACAAGAAAGTTCTATCTTCTGCCTAACGTATCAGAGGGTCGTAAAAAGAAAGAAAACAAATCAATCATCACGTCACCGAAACAAAAATAAGTAGACAATGGTTAAGAAAGTTTCTTCAAAAATTACATGAATGGCTTGCACCTTGTGTAGGTTGAAAACTCCGAACTCGACTGCCAGCCTTGGTCCCTTGCGTATCCACACCCTAAACTTCTTGCAGGTCGCCGTCCAGCGGCGTTTTGAGCGTTGTCATCGACTTCTCATCGGTTAGTCAATGTGGTGTCTCCTCGGTACATATAAATAACACATTCACAAATTTAACTATTTAGAATAATTACAAAATAAAACATTCCACTTGAAATACTAGTTGATTGTGGGAAACTGAAAAATAAAAAAATAAATCGCTGGAAATCAATGTAGACACTTTTTTATGCCTGACCTTCTTACG